ATGGTGGCCTTCGCGGCCGCCTACGGTATTTTTGGAAAGTCAACCTTTGACTTTGACCGAATTTGGAAAAGACCGTAGGCCGCCGACACTGGACAGAAGGCGGCCGCCTACGGTGGCCGCCTGCGGCACAAGGGGACGAAACCAACCACCGGTCGGCCAGACAGGACGGCAGGCGGCCAGACAGGACGGCAGGCGGCCGCCTGCTGGACCGCCTGCGGCGGCCAGGATCCGCCGGGATCCGATCTGCCAACGAAAAGACGGCAGGCGGCCATTTGTGACAGAAGGCGGCCGCCCTCTGTGGCCGCCTACGGCTGACGGAGACCGGCCACCGACGGTCTGCCGGCGACATGACGGCAGGCGGCCAGAGGCTGCCAGAAGGCGGCCGCCTGCCCGGGCGCCTTCGGGATTTCTTCTGCTATAAAAATCAGGCTTTTTCCTCAACTAAAACACACCTCTTCCAACCCTAAATCAGTTCAAAACACCTTCTTTCTTCCTCCATTTTCGAGCTCCAAAGGGTTTAGAGAGAGAGAAACTTCAATCCTTCATATCTTCTTCATTTTAGCTCCAAATTGTAAGTTCTTTATATGTATTTTCATCTTCTCAATGTGTAGAATCTGAATCTGTGCTTTGTTTCTTCGATCTGTTCTTCGAAAATTCCCAGAATATTTTTCAAGTATTTCGCATTTCCTTCCAAAAATAAAATAAAATAGTTATTGTTGTTGAATTCATTCCAATTAATTATATAGTTGTTCACTAGCCTCAAGGTAGTTAATTATCTGATTAAAGTTAATTTTCACGAACCAGAAGTAATTTTTAATTAATTTTGGTAATTATTTGATATTAGTTCATAATTTAGATTAACTACTAGAAAAAAAAGAAAAAAATGAGTTCGGCCCTATTTACAGTTTAGTTAACTTAAATATCATTACTAGTAGTTAATATAAAATTTGGTACGAATTTAGAGTATTTTTTTTATTAATTTCGATAATTACTTTATATTATTGCTTAAATCAAAATAAATACAAAAAAAGAAGAAAAAAATATATTTCGGACCTGATTACAGTTTATTCACAGTAATATCACTCCCAGTAGCTAAAAATAAAATTTATAACGAAGTTAGCATATTTTTAGTTGCTTTTTGCATTTTCTAGTTAAAATTGGGAAAGTTATCAATTAGTTGTTAAAATTGGATTTTAGGTTCAAAAATTCGTAAAAAATTCCAGAAAGTTGTATTTTAGTTCCTACAAGTTTATTGTTCCAGAATATAATTTTTGTTTAATTTTTGCTATCATACATGTTTAATTCCTTGTTAATGCATGTTGAATTTAATCATTATATTGTTAATTGTAAAAATGATGATGAGTAGCTAAATTTGTTAGGGCATGAATCGAGAAAATGAATATGGATTGACTTGTTGACCTAAACTTAGGGGTTAAAATTAATAAATTGGACTAGTTGTTTAAAATGATGAAATAGTAATTAATAATAGTTAGCCATTTTCATTAATTAAATTCTTGGAAAATTAATTCTAACTTGTCTATGAGATTAGAAATTAATTTAAGCCAACCATATTTGAGCACATTAATAAGGCCTAGAAATAGGATAATTTAATGAAAAGGATTTACATCTTGTCTATGAGAAATAAATTCAATTGCTAAAATAAAGAGTTTAACTAGTTAATGAATTTGGCTATTTTTATTAACTAAAATATTGGAAAATTATTTCTACCTTGTCTATGGGTTTAGAAAATAATTTAAGCCAACCATTTTAAACACATTAATGACACCTAGAAATAGGATAAATTAATGAAGATAGTTTCTATTCTTGTCTATGAGGAAAGAAATTATTAGTCCAACTTTAGTCTTAATTTCCCTAATTAAGAGGTCCAAGAACATATCCATTTCTAATTACTCAATTCATTGCCCTTATTTGCATCCTTGAATATTCAATCTTAATACATTAATCTTTAAATTGCCCTTGCTCCTAGTTATAAATTAGCATAATATTGAACAAAATCACTTCCTATATTGAAAAAGCTTCCAACGATTAGCGATAGCCCGTGACTAAAATTAAATTAAGAAACTTCTCCGCCATTCCTCAAGAGACACGACACTCGGGGAAAAACCGAAAGGTTAGACTCCGTTTTACTACAACGCCGCGAAAGCGGGTATCATACACATATCCTGACGGATACTATCTACTTTTTTAAATATAAAACACCTAAAAATAAATAATAATGACTTAAAATTATTTTTGAGAAATTTTAATTTTTATTAGAGTATTGTTTTCTATCCATGAACTTTGAGCGCTTTTGATTTCAAAATTGTGATTGTTTGACTTGTTTCTTATTTCAAATTAATTATTCACTTATTCTATATTTATATTTTGAAACGCGTGAGCATATATAAGATAATATGAATTATTGTCAACTATCATGATAATGTGAAATGTTTCAAAGCTATTGATGGCCAGGAGGGGACAATGATCATGTAAGGTAGACCTGCACTTTATAATTTTAGGTCTCTTCGTTTTAGGTGCTTATGCGTAAAAAAATTTGATTCATTTTGTGAGTATGTTATCCATTAAGTGTAAATTATGTCTACCAAACTTCAGCTTAAAGTTCATTCCGGAAGTCAATTAAATCAATTATTGAAAAAAAAATTGCATTACATTTATTTAACTGACTTTCCAGTTGAATTTTAAATCGAAATTTTGTGAACGTAATCTACACTTCATGTTGAACATGTTCATAAAATTTAATCACAAAATCCGATACGGAAGCACCTCAAAAAATTTGATTTAATTATTTTAAAACAAAATTTGAAAAAAGCTCAAGAAGTGTTTTGGAAATCACTCTAAATAAAATTAAAAACGTTTGTATATTTCAATACAGGACAATCACGTAAGAATAAAAAAAAAATACGGTCGTCTCGTAGGCACGTCCTAGGGTTTTTTCTGGCGGCGGCCTATCCAGGCCGTGGGTTCGGCCGATCTCTCCCCGCCTCCCCGGTAGGCAACTTATCTCATATATCTTCTCAGGGTATTGAGTTTTGTTGTCATCGCGGGGTTTGTTTGGTTCGTTTTTGTTTTATTTCTGACTTGCAATTGCGGTGAATCTGGATTTTGTCTGGACGAAGCTTTTGGTTTTTCTGTTTTACAGGAGCAGCGAACAAGCGAGGAAGCTTTCAAGAGGGTTCGAGGCTTCTGATTTTGGCAGGGGACGGGTTTAGCAAGAGGAAGATGGGGTGCTGCAGAATGTTGAAGATGAAGTCGAGCTGTTATTCTTCGGCAGTTTGGGAACGAGCTTTGACGAAACATATGACTTTTGGTGATAGCATGGAGTTTCTGGTGGTCGACAACGTGCTGTCGGACTGGAAAAACAAATTTCAGAGGTTCATTGGTGGCCTATGTGTGAAAGAAGACGAAGGGATGTTGATCCACCCAACTCCAGAACCGCCGCCTTGGAGGAATTATGCGACTAGGGTTTGGACGAGTATTTCTATTTCCGCCGAGTCGATTGTGTTTTGTTTTTATTTTATTTCGATCATGTTTTGTTGCTTATTTATTTTATGTTGTAAGACTTTTGCACTTGGATTTAAGGATGAGAGGCCTGCGGTAATCGTCGTGGTTTTGAATATGCCCAATTTAGGATTAACGAGTTATATTGTTTTGTCAAAGTTGATTAACTCAGAGTCTCGTCTACGGGCGGATGGTTACATGTGGTCCTTTTGTTATTTCAACTAGGGCTGGGCACGGGCCGGGTCGGGGCGGGTAATGCAAAATAAAATGGAACCGCCTGTTCTATTGTATGGTCCGGTCCGGGTATTGCAATTTTCAAAATAGGAACCGGACCTTACCCGGCCCGTTTGAAACGGGTCGGTCCGGTCCGGATTTTACGGTTTCTATTCCCATGTCTTAAAATTAGTAAAAACTCACAAAGTTCCAAAAATCAATAATTAATAATATAGTACATTATCAAGTTTCAAAATAACAACATAGTGATGCACATGTAACACAAGTGACAAGTCCAATACTCCATAATTTCATGTATATAAGTTCCAAACAATTAAAGTTCCAAAAATCGGCAACATAGTCAAAATGCATTCTCTAACATTTGAATTAAAAATGTTGTCTAACATCACATATTAAGGTGACACATACATGGGAGTGGTAATCACAATTTATATACTTTAAGAACAAATTTTCACTATTAGCCAAAGTTGACACATACATGGGGGTGGTAATTTAATCACAATTTATATATTTTAAGAACAATATTATAAAAACAAATATTACAAAATCTTTTTTAACAAATACGAGTAATTAAATTCCATAGAAAGGAATAATTCAATAACAATAAAAATAATAAGAAAATTTTGTAAAATTTAATCAATAATTTGAAAGCAAAATGATGTTACTGCAACTCAATTTAAAATCCTACTTCTAGCAAAGAGAAACAAAACTATTTCAAAACCGATTATCACAAAACTATTAATAAATTAATATACAATATATATAACGGGCCGGGCCGGGTACCCGGTATTTTTTTATTTTGGAACCGGCCCGGGTCCTTAAAAAAAATTACCCGGACCTACCCGGACCGTTTTATGGCAACAAAAAATGGAACCGGCCCGTTTTGGACCCGAACCGCCATTACCCGGACCGGACCGCGGTTCCAAGACCCGTTTGCCCACCCCTAATTTCAACCCCTCTCTGAGTGCTTTTTATGAATGAATGCCTCAAAAAAAGTACAAGACAATCACATTTTTATTCTCGCTCAAAATAAAACTAAATGCCGTCATGTTTTAATAGTACCAAATTTTAAACATTACCGTGTTTTTCAAACTTAAGAGTAATTTCTCCAATTTTATTAATAAAAATATGATAGAGTTAATTTGAAATTTTGAAACATTTTTACTTCTAATTCGAAAATTTTCCCCAAAATTTCCCCAACACGCAAAATTAACGAGTTGGGTCCGTGTGTGCCGATAAACTGGGCGGGCCCCGCTTGCTCATCATCTTCCCACATTTCCAGTATCCTTTACAGCATTTATTAAACCAACTAATTTATGTATTTTACCAGTGAACTTCGACCCCATACTCTCTCCGGCATCTCCTCACCATTTCCGACTGATCGTCGTCTGTCTCAGGTAAGCAAATTCCCATTACTTTTGCTTTTTTTTATATCTCTTTCTCTTTTAACCAATCATCCACAATTCATCATCGCATCAGTGTTCGATTTTCTGTTTTGCTCTTCGATTTGGATAATGGATGGTGATTGATCTGAATAGCGTTGACTTGATCTGTTGACGATTTTCATTGCATGAATTGTTATACCTTATAGTCTTTCCATTTATCCATCCTATCAAATCCCAAACCTGCCATTGACGATTGCCGGTAACACATTCACACATGCCAAATCAAAGATAGTATTGCTTCTTCAAGTTCTACCAATTCAATCTATTTAGTTACTTCTCCACTCCACCGAACATTTCCCTGTGCGCTCTCTCATCGCCCTCTCTCTGTTTAAGTATTTTCTCCTCTACGGCCGTTCCTTTAGAAGCCTACTAGTCGGTTCTTCAATGATTCCATGAATTTTCTGGAATCGGAGATTTCTTCAAGGATTTTCAGTCTGTACATTTCCACCGCAACTCCCTTTCTTCTCAAGTAGCCCTTTTTGACCTCTGTAACGCGGCTGTATTGGACAATCCTACACCCTTTTTGACCCCTTTACAGTTCAGAAATCTCCTACAAGTGCGTAACTCCTCTCAAAGACGATTTGGAATGGAAGCTTATCTATGTTGGATCAGCTGAGGATGAAGCTTATGACCAACTGCTTGAGAGTGTTCTTGTTGGGCCAGTTAATGTTGGGAATCACGGGTTTGTCTTGCAGGCGGAGCCTCCAGATCCCTCAAAGATCCTGGAAGAAGATATACATATACTTGGTGTGACTGTCCTTCTGTTGACCTGCTCTTACCTGAACCAGGAATTTATAAGAGTAGGGTACTACGTAAACAATGAGTACAATGATGAGAAGCTAAGAGAAGAACCGTCTCAGAATGTGTTAATTGACAGGATTCAGAGAAGCATACTATCAGACAAGCTTAAGGTTACCAAATTCCCCATTAACTTCCACCCTGAAAATAATAACAAAAGTAGTGACCAAGCCCCTCCTCCTCCGCCTAGTGATGGTCAGCTCACTGGAGCAGAAAAGGAATGATGGGCAGTGACATTAACCGTTTTTTTTTCACCTGACGTTTTGGTTCAAATGGTCTCTAATGAAGCTGTTCATCCATCATGAAAACTTGCTATTTCAGCTTCCTTTTGTCTCTAACACCAATCTAGTGTCGAGGTGATGGTGTGGTATGTTTTGACAAAACTTCATATTTTGCTGAACTAAATCTCTTTGTTTCACTGACAAGGTTGTTATATTTTGTTAATAAAAAAAAGATGCTTCAATCCTAGTTATTACTCCAGTCATTATTCTATTTATCTGATAATTACAATGATATACTTTGATCATCATCATTTCTAGTAAATTGCAGCAGCTAGGGGAAAAATACGTTTTCCAATGTTCGGGTCTCATTATTTATTATTTGTATTTCGTGCTCACTATTTCACTAATATCTTACTTTGAATGTGTAGTTAGGTGAGTATCCATCTGATCTGAAAAGGAAGAAGGTATGTCTTCGTCTGAAAATCCTGAGATAGTGGAAAGGGTTGTCAAGGACAAGGAAGACAAAGAGGAAGAAAAGGGCGGGTTCATTGACAAGGTGAAGGATTTCATCCATGATATAGGCGAGAAGATAGAGGAGACAATAGGGTTTGGAAAACCAACTGCAGATGTTGCAGGGATTCATATTCCTCATATCAATCTTGAAAAGGCAGAAATTGTTGTTGATGTGTTAGTGAAGAATCCAAATCCTGTCCCCATCCCTCTCGTTGACATAAACTACTTAATTGAGAGTGATGGAAGGAAGTTGATTTCTGGGCTTATCCCTGATGCTGGAACTATCCATGCGCATGGTTCAGAAACTATCAAGATACCCGTTAACCTGATTTATGATGACATTAAGAGTACATATAAGGATATACAACCTGGAAGCATAATCCCATACAGGATAAAGGTTGAACTCATAGTGGACGTCCCTGTATTCGGCAGGTTAACTATTCCTCTTGAGAAAACTGGTGAAATTCCCATCCCTTACAAGCCAGATATTGATCTTGAGAAGATTCAGTTCAAGAGTTTCTCTTTTGAGGAAACGGTTGCTGTACTTCACTTGAAATTGGAAAACATGAATGACTTTGATCTCGGCCTCAATTCTCTTGACTATGATCTTTGGCTGTCTGATGTGAACATTGGGGGTGCTGAACTTGACAAGTCTGCCAACATTCAGAAAAAAGGAATTACCTACATTGACCTTCCTGTCACTTTCAGACCCAAGGATTTTGGCTCAGCTCTATGGGATATGATAAGGGGCAGAGGGACTGGCTACACGATGAAAGGACACATCAATGTGGATACACCCTTTGGAGCAATGAAACTACCCATCAGCAAGGAGGGTGGTACCACCAGTCTCAAGAAGAATAAGGAAGATGGAGGTGATGATGAGGAGGAGGTACATTAACCATTTTGTGTTCCAAGTGTTTTGTGTGTGTTTGTGTTTATAGTGGTGATGAAGCAGGAGTAGCATGTGAGGGTGGCCAAGGTTGAAGTAGGAAAAATAAAGAGTTTTTGGGACATTTGATTAAAGTGATTGAGACAACGACCCTAAAAAAGCATATTCCATATGAAAAGTCCCTATAATGTTTTGAAATTTTATTAACATAATGAAGCCAAAACATTATATTGTGCAAATTTTTTTAGGGGCTAATTTGCACAGATGTTTTAGGGGCTAATGTTTTGAATATTTCATCTTGTTGCTACAGATAACACTAGATTAATCATTCATAAAACTATAAAAGTCCCATGACCACTTAAGATTACATTTGTATAATTTCTAATAAAAGAATCATGACCGGATTCTAATAAATAGAAAGGTTTCTACTGCCTAAATGAATTCAGAGTATGAGGGGCGCCGGGCCCGCTGGGGGCCTTCCGTGAAGAGGGTGGATGCGTCCATGTTTGCATTTGTGTATCTTCTTTGCCACTCATCTGCTGTGGATGATGTTTTCCTTTCTTAAGTAAATTATTTTGGTACACCACTACATATTTGTATATACAAGAATTTTGGGACATGCTATTATCTGGAATCATACAAGTGAATACAACTGTTTTCTCCATTGTGATTAACTTCGAGTCTTTGAATAACAATATACTCTTTCCATGTTACTGTTTCATAAGTTAAATTAGTTTCATAAGAATTGTCTATCCTAAAAAACAAAAAACAGGATGAAGAATAAAAAGAACAAGTTAATATAAACATAGAGATTTTAAAATGTTATTCAATGACCATGCATCATTGGCTGCATAAGACATATACTCCCCATGTTTTTTTGGTTTAACTTTTTTGAATTGAGGTTGAACATCATAGTCATGTGCTCTCTAGTATCGGTGTTTACAAACTCATCGAAGTAAATAACTTTCCTGATTATGTTATTTACATGCTGATCACCTCAAGCCTGTCTCTATTGGTGTTTTCAAGTCTTCGCATTTGATCATAATTAACAGGGGCGTACTGCCTCTTACTCTGGATATGCGATATGAACTGTTTCCCTCTCAAGCAGTCAAGCCTCAACCTGGAACATTGGCTCCTCTATTTTGGGTTTGGCATTTTATTTCTGATTTCGTGTTTTAACTTGTACATTGCAGGATTGAAGCTGTGCTTTGAGTTGATTCAGGTAAGAAAATGTCTGTTTGCTGAAGACTGGTTTTGAAGATAATAATTCGAGGGATTTGTACTATGCGCCAATTTGTTTGGACACTATCCGTGCTATGTTTTAGAATATTCATGGAAATTATGTGTTTGTTTTGTTTTACATTATGTGGATGTTATGTTATTGCGATGAAATGCTGATGTATGTTTGTGGTTATGCTCACTAGACAAATTATTATTGTTACGGAGTATTATTATTGTTGTTGTAATTTAATTATTGCTATGATTATCATGACTATTTACAAAAAATTAAAGGTGTGCATATATATCAACTAGTATTTTACCCGGGCGCCCCGGACGAATGTTGTGAATGTTTGAATACTTTGTAAGATATATATATTATAGAATCTTTATATCTTTATATATACGAAGTAATATAAAGTAACAATCTTGGCACCACAATTGGAGGGGAAAATCCCACCCAAAATGAAGACATAATGGTGAATTATTGACAAAAACAAATTTGGTAATGTATTAACTCAACATTAACAAATAAAAAATGACAACCGCAGGTTTCTAAAAAAGTACTCCCTACTTTCTACGTAACACGAGAAAATTTTACAAAAAAAAGAAGAGCAATACAATCCCATTTTTGGAGTTTTTTTTCCCAAACTAGGGTAGTTTGAAAACTTATTTCCTGAGTGTTTTTCTAGTTAAAAAAAAAATTCATTGGTGGGAGTCGAACCCACAACCTCTCACTTGAACCATGAACCACTTAGCTACTATGCTCATTTGATATGGCAAAAAATACCCTAATTTGGGAAATAAGTTTAAAAGTACTCTAGTTTGGGAAATAAGTTTTACAACTACCCTAGTTTGGGAAAAAACTCCCCATTTTTGCTTAAAGTGTTGTAACTTTTTTATTTGTACTCCGATTGTTACAAAAAACATATCAAAATTCATAACTTTTTATTATCTTTCACATGACACCAATATTGAATATATAAAAATAAAACAACACTTTAAAAACATCAATGAATCGAGTGCTACCATATAAAATTATCATGAACCGCAAGTTGAGCATACAATGTTTAATTATCAAGTTTATCAAATTTGTTTGTCATAATTCTATAAGTACTTACCCTGCTCACTTCGTTAAAAGTGCCACTCAAATAAAGTTTATTGCATAATGGAAAGGTAATTTATGAAAATTGGAAGTACGTATTTAGTATTTTAGTTACTTGCCATACTGCTACAGTAATACAAATGCATATAATAATAGTAGTATTAATAATAATAAAAACAACAATAAAAATAATTATAATGATATGAAGGTTAAAAGTTTATCCTTATATTATACTACTTCTGTTCCTTAAAACTTTGCCAAAGTTGACCGGCACGAAGAATAATAAAATAAACACTATGTGATTGAGATTTGTGCAGAGGAAAGAGAAATAACAGAAACGACAAAATAATTGATCAAAAGGAAAAGTGACGAAAAGAGTATAAAGTAACAAAATTCTCGTGTGACCAAGGTTAAAAAACATTGTCTGATCACCCTACGTCCCAGGAAGTCAACATTCACAAGTCTCCTCACATGGGAAGCTAAAATAGCTTTTCCCATGGGGTGAAAAATTCTAGGTACGCCACACTCTAACGTTCCATAGGATGTATCATACGGGAGTCGAGTGAAAGTGTAGGCGATAGGTGGTTCGTTTTTGACAGTATGGAAGACCCTTCTCATAAGGTCTTCGGTCATATCATTGAAATAATAAACGTGACCCTTCTCCTCAAAGCCAACTAGATAGAGGTCAGTGTTTTTGCATATAATCCTTATTTTTTCACCTGTCGAGAGCCCTAGATCTATGAAGACTATGTCCTCAATGGTAGGATCAAGTGGCCTTACATCTTCCTTTAGGCAAGGTATACCCAATCCATTATTTGAGGGAGGTGAGGGAGGTGGTTATGTGGCCCTCCTAGACCGTGTTTTGACTCTTTTCCTAGACCGTATTCTAGACATGATCGGAAGAGAAATGGAGGGGGAAGAGAAATGGGGGCTGGAAGAGAAATGGAGACCATATTCTCTACCAGCCTAGACTGTATTCTAGACTGACCTCTTCCAGCCTCCATTTCTCTTTCAGCCCCCATTTCTCTTCCCCCTCCATTTCTCTTCCGATCATGCCTAGAATACGGTCTAGGAAAAGAGTCAAAAGACGGTCTAGGAGGGCCACATAACCATCTCCCTCACCTCCCTCAAATAATGGATTGGGTATACCTTGCCTAAAGGAAGATGTAAGGCCACTTGATCCTACCATTGAGGACATAGTCTTCATAGATCTAGGGCTCTCGACAGGTGAAAAAATAAGGATTATATGCAAAAACACTGACCTCTATCTAGTCGGCTTTGAGGGGAAGGGTCACGTTTACTATTTCAATGATATGCCCGAAGACCTTATGAGAAAGGTCTTCCATACTGTCAAAAATGAACCACCTACCGCCTACACTTTCACTCGACTCCCGTATGATACATCCTATGGAATGTTAGAGTGTGGCGTACCTAGAATTTTTCACCCCATGGGAAAAGCTATTTTAGCTTCCCATGTGAGGAGACTTGTGAATGTTGACTTCCTGGGACGTAGGGTGATCAGACAATGTTTTTTAACCTTGGTCACACTGGTATCTGAATGCGCTAGATGACAAAGTTCTCGTCAAAGTAAGCAGACCTCAGGCTCTGAAGGGTTGCTGATTTGCTGCTGCTGCATTGCAAATTTTCTTTGTCATCACGTACAACCATCAAAGCAGAGCCGCCAGACTGAGTGCTGCTTATAACTGCCATCCTCCCATCAAAAGAAGAACTCTCAGAGCTTGATACCTGAGGTTCGATGGACTCCATCTGAATGAAAGCCGCTGTGCTGTGTATAAGCTGATTCTCAAAGTCTCCATCATTTCTCTGTGTCCTTGTACCCGTACCTAATGATGCACCGGTACATACGGTATGGTCTCGGGCAGACCCGTCCAATAAGGAACCATTCCTCAGGTGAAACGTAAGGGACGGGGACATACTTTACACACACAAAAACGAGTACACTGTGAAAGGCAGGAAGGTTAGTCACGAAGTGGGAGAATATGGAGGGGACTCCTGTTGCAAGTTCTGAGTAAACGAGGCCGATCCCTGGGACTCGGACGATGCCGAGTGTGGGTCCTAGGCCGAGTAGCCATTTCAGTGGGACTTTGTTGTGGAGATCGAATGTGTACTTCTTGCGGATCCCATAGTGCCAGACGAACATGACGAACAGGAATACTAGGGAGAGGACAAGAGATACCCACCCACCCTGAGGGATTTTAATGACTGATGCTGAAAGGTAGACAAGTTCAATGAAACAAAAGAAGAAGAGGAAGGCGGCGGCATATATGGGGTTTCTTCCCCAGACAAACACGGTGATGAGTGACATCAGAAACGTCATGATGAACATAACTGTCATGCATGCTAGTCCTGAATAAAAATTAAACATATCCCATGATATCAGCACTAAAATTTGAATGACAAATAACAGAAAAGCTAGCTAAACTAAAACTATGACTGCACCGCATGGTTGTATACTTACTGTCATAACTTTTTCATGGGAACAAGCCGTGACAGTGCACATGGTTAATGAAATTACTCTGTTCTATTTTCATTTAAAAACATATTTAAGTGGCCCTTGCAAACTAATATAGGTGTAAAGTGTTGCCCACTCTACTTGTGAGAAACTTCTGGAAGATCTTTGAAAATATATTTGTTGTGAACAATGGAAGAAGGAAAAGACAAAAAAGACTTGGAATTTTATAATGGCACGCCCTTTTTAGTGATATAGTTTCTAAAATAAATTATTGAGTGAAAGTGGGCATATAAATTTAGTAGCGGTGAATTCAGGAAAGATTGATTGGTAGCCCTGCAAAAGGGCATGAAGAAAAGCAGTGTTGAATACTTGAATGAAATGAAAGTCACTTACCATATGCATTTCCAATTAAAGTTACATCCTGGAAACCAATGGCCACTAACAGAGTAAGAATCATGAATATCCAATATATTTCAGGTATATAAATCTGGCCGTAGATATGCTTTGACGTGTGAACAATCTTGACTCTTGGGAAGCATCCAAGTGCATTACATTGCTTGATGATAGAGAACGTAGCAGTGATAATTGACTGACTGGCAACAATAGCTGCAAGGGTGGCAATAACAAAAACTGGCCAGTGCGCACCATCTGCAAGGGTAACGAAGCAAACTAGATCGCACTAGGACTCTGATAGAGTTGCATTGAATCTCAAGAAAAATACTAACCAGGAACTGAATCGTAAAACTATTTGGTACTGAAGCAATGTTTTTGGACAGAAAAGCAGCCTGCCCCATGTATTGTACCACTAAACAAGGATACACGCCAAGTACAAATGCAAACTGAATGAAATGAAAGGAAAAAATAGACTAGTAAGTAAAAGAGCGTTACTGGAACCCAAATCAATAAACTCGCATGCATGAGAAATTGGGTATCCAAACTAGGAAACAGATTGAAATGATAGTATATAAGTACATCGCTACCGGGAATCAATTTGTTAATTATTTTTGCTCCATGGAAGTTCTACCTGTCTTTATTGAGAAATAGGAAATTGAACGGCTTGGTGAGTGGCTGAAAGCCATCAGCCCATCACCCAACAGTACGGCAGAGTTCAGATGAGTTGACATTTAATGGTCCAAAAGACTTTTGAGTATCATTAGATAGGATGATTGACAACTTAACTATCTTGATAGGATCCATTACAAGAGCCTCAGAAGTCAGAAGTACTTTCTAAGTCCCAAAATAAAGAACTCATGTCTGCAATATTGATTTCAGTGTTACAGAAATGACTCTATTTTTGCTGGAAAACATTTCAATTCATAGGCAATGAATCTTCACCAGGGTTGTGTCTCACCGCTTTCTATCATACATTAGTTATTGGGCTTGATGCTTCAACTAACAACACTTCATGCTACACAAGAAACTCTTTATATTTAAAAAACATTAAAATTTAAAGAGTACAGAGTAATATTTTGTTTTCCTACCAAACTTTTAATTTTCACCTTTTCTCAAATAAACAATAAAAAGGTGTTTTCCCTGAAAGCAATTTCTAAGTAACTTTCCCTCTTGGATTTCAACATGAGCAGAAGAATCAGAACATGAATACCACTATGGTGCCCAACGATGTTAAACCCCAACTCTAAAAAAAGTATCATGAGAGGCTTTATATGCTAGGTCCATTGCAGCATATAGAAGAATAGTTTTCCCACAAGACGCGACTCATACTTTCATAGTGATGGAAAAACGTACTTGTACTTACCCTCATTGAGAAAGAATTGAAATGGCCAAGATTTGCAAACATAGCTTCAGTCCCTGATCCAAACAAAAGAAAAACAGGATAAAATGAAGTAATTATTAAAGCTCAAGGTATCCCTAACCTGAATAGCTTCTCTTGTATAGTGGTACTGTACCTGTTACAGATAGGAGCACTCCTCCAAGCGAAATCCATCCATCTTTTCCGGTATGCCGAAAAAACTTGATGATATAATACGGAGAAAGAGCAGACACAATTTTTGGATTCCAAACTATTGTATTGTACAACCCAAGGGAAAAAATTGAAATCAACCAGATTGATACTATTGGTGCAAACAAGAAAGCTACTCTGTGGGTACCAACATGCTGAAGAGCAAATAGACCAACCAATATAATGCAAGTAATGAGCAGGACAGCACCTATCAACAACAAATACTTTCGGTAATTAGCTGAGTATATGAAATGTATTGCAACGTATTCAACTGCTGACAACTTAGAGTCATACAGCAAAAAAATAACTTCAACCTACCATTAGGCAAGCTTTCAGCAGCATCTTGAATCCCACAAACAGATGATAAAACTGCCATAAAAGATGTACACTACAATGAGTTTACTCGAGGTCAAGTGGAAAATTAAACAATTGATCACTTTCATGCATCCAGTTAGTTAGGCATCCACGCTATTAATCCTCAACTATTTGGTTCTGTAAATGATGTTTTAGGGCAACCTTGATCTCATGATGACACTAAAACAGGTAAACACATTATAAATAGATTAAAAATGATCAATATCACTCACCGTCTAAAGAAATTTGAAATTCATAAATAGATTTGATAGTTGCACAATAAATATGGCTACCTGATATTGCAGGAGTGAGCACACCGTCACCAATGACCATGCTAGCCCCTAGCAATACAACAAGGAATAAAATCATCCGTGCTTTTTTATGCCTCTCTATAAACCGCTTCAATGGTAAAGATGACGCAGAAAGCCTAGTGGAGCCATATTTGTAAGTAGATAGCTCCTCATCAGCAGCTTGTTAATTGGGAAGTAGATTAAGCTTTGCATGTCTACAGAGCAGAGTATAGAGCAAAGCTCCCACCTAGCAAAATAATAATAAATACATGCAGCGAAACACAAATCAGGTGGATAATACTCATAATAGTTACAAAATCAGTGAGCAATTGAGCAACTGTTGTGAGTATGTCTGGTTCTATTCTTGCGGGTTAGGGATATTAATATTCATTAGTATCAACTATCATCATCATCATTAGTTGACTACTCATTATTAATTTATTATTAATGTTAGTATTATTTTACTATTTATTATTAGTTATAGTTTTGAATTGGTATTAAGGTCCTGTTTTAGTGTAGGCCCTAACGGCTAACAGAATATATTAGGACTCTAATAAATGCTGACCAAGACTCTTGGGAATAGCATACCTTCACCATTGTCATCTGCACTAAGCATGACGACTACATATTTGAGCAAAGGCATCAGCGTAAGTGTCCAAAAGATCAATGAGAAGGTGCCAAATATTGCATCAGGAGTTTGATGCTTCCGCAACATTTCCACAAATATACTTTGATAGACATAAAGAGGTGACGTGCTCAAATCTCCACATACCACCCCAAGACTCTGGTACGCCAACAGCAGATCTCGGGATATGTTTACCAAACTAATCTTCACGTGCATCCATATATATATTTATATTTATGACATTGATGTTATAGTTATAACCCCGACAAGGATATTATTACACTCACACGCACACATTTACATACATGCATATACATACATATCATGTATTTATGAATCATGTGTGTACATAGAACATGATAAAGGGTACTTAAAGCTACTCAACCACTCTAGAAGGTATGTCACCAGGTTCATCCAAATGGATGTTTGTAGGCAGATTACCCATACCAATCCAATAGCTGTTCACTTACAGAAACTCAGTTGAAGCATTCAAGTATGAAGTACATGTTTATTATGGAATAAATCTTGTGTTTCATTAAAACATTATAGACACAACTACCCTGAAATAGAGAAACTAATTTTGACTCTATACTCTATAGGTATTGAAAACATAGTTGTCATGGCGTCATCTAGGCAGCGACCAGGCGCCCATGGAGTAGGAGGCAATCGCCAAAGCTGGCCGCGTCACATAAAGAACACCGAACGTTGAATGAAATCTCTTAGGCATTAACTAGGCATTCGTAAGGAAGCCCGTGGTTGAATTCTTACCCAAGTTTGCATTTTCTTTCTTACTTTTCTTCTCTCTTTCTTCCTTGTTCTTCATTTTCGTTTCTTTATTTATCTTTGCAGTTACTCTTTTCCCTTAATGATTTTTTTTTCCCCATTTCCATAAAAATCAGCCACATAAATCACATTACTACATTTTGCTAAATTTTTGTAGTTTCATTGAAAGTAAATATACATCGGACTCCCATTTTAAATTAATATGATGAAGTACTAATTGACGTATTATGTTTTATATTATATTTACTTGTCGCCTAAGTATCACCTAAGCGGTCACCTAGTCATCCAGGCGATGAGGCAGTTCACCGGCGTCGCGCCTCGCAAAGCCGCCGTGACAACCTTGAATATGAAAACATCACAAATCATCTACCCATTACTAAGTTCACAGCTGTACAATTTCCATATCCAGATTCCATCACTCTACCTGCTGAAAATTATGTACTCTCCATGTTTACTTTCTAAGTTTTAAATGTCTGTCTGAGCAGAAACATGTACGAATGCAGCCTTGCAAGTGAAAAGCAGTGAGTTGGGTTTAATCAGTATTCACACTATTCAGTACATATACGAATTTACTTAGCAAATTACCATTTAGAAACAAGTGTGTGATGATACTTCTTGTGCGATAAAAGACATGTCTTTTCTTGATAAATTACCGTTCTGAAAGATGATTGCAACAATGTGAACAACTCTCAACGATGCCAAATTGTATTGAATACACGTGACCAGAAGAATATATGTATTGTGTAGAATGTTAATACATCGACCCCAACAACATGCAACCCTAACAGCAAAGTTCACAACTTTGGCTGCAAAGACACCTTAAGATTCAATTACAGATTCTGCTATGTTAGATGATGGAACCCATGTGGACTTTTGCAATGACCACCTGACCTTAATAAAGTAACCCTGTAGGTCGTAGGTCTGAGCCCCAAAAATGAAGTTTATCTTTATTTAAAATTAGATGAAAAAAACATTCTCTAGTACTTAGTTACCTGTAATGATCATTGGTTTTGCATTTAATCTTTAGAAATATAAAGCACCGCCTATAGAAGCTAAACAACAAAGCCAAAAGACTGAAATGCCTTGAACCTTTGACAGCAGCTAAGAATAAATACTCGCACTAAAGATAATACAAAAGATGAAAAAATATGTGCAAATGGAGTTGGTGGAATCTAAGAGGAAGAAACTTAGGCCAACTGATGTAACCATACAATGTAAATCAGCCATTTTCCATCACATATTAATCATCAAAGAATAATGTCACTATACACATGCAACTTTTATCACATTAACAAGAAAAAAGAAAATGCTAAGACAGCTAACAGAGCACACTGGCTAGACAGGCTACAAAAGCAGGAGCTTTAAAAAAAATCTACCTTTGAATCTAGTTGCTTCTTTGTAGCACCTTGGCCTTCTTGCCCCCCCACATTGGTTGAACCCTCACCCGCAGTTGTTGCAAGTAGAGGTGGGTGTTTTGTGTCACCTTCTTCACGTTTGATGTCAACTTGATACATATTTCTACCTGTGCCTTAGGCTTTCCAAGATTTAATTCAGACACAATAAGGATTTGACATAAACAAAAATATTGCTAAGGTTGGACCAAAACCTAGCAGCCAAAATTTGTGGCAGTTGGGCAAACTGGAAACATTCTAGGGATTCTGGACAGGGGTTGGCTCGTTCGTATTTGAGGCAGCTAGCGATGAACAGAGGGATCTGGACACAGTCTTTGCGCGCTCATATACGGGGACTAGGGGCGCAAAGATGATCAGCGTATAGGGAATCCTTCAACCCTCCTGTTTTAGAAATAATTGAAAGTAAATAACGAACTGCTGCCATAATTGAAAGTGGGGGAAAGATTTTAAGAACGTAGCTGCTCCGCGCGCCTCCAAAATAACTGGGCGCACCCAATTTTTGTCATCACTGGACAATTTTGCCCTTGGTCATACTTCACGTCACTTCTACTGCATGTGCTAGGCGCACCACTGCGTAAAAACTAGGGATGGCAATGGGGTGGGGTTGGGGCGGGGGTTCACTCCCCCATCCCCGCCCCGTGTCTAAAAAATCGCCCCCATCCCCGCCCCATCCCCCACTACTATTTGACCCGCCCCATCCCCCGCCCCGACCCGCTAGACCCACGGGTACCCAACGGGGGAAGTACTCGTAAAAAATTAACATCATTTTAGACTCTGACAATTTTTCAAAAATTAAACAACACTTCTAGTAGCCAAAAAAACTTTTACTTTTTAAGTGTCAATGTAATCTTACATCCCATTTCAAATCTAGAACACATTATATGCGTTCTAATTTAGTCATTTTTATCAAACTCTAAATTAGCATTGATTAGCTCTATAATATTTTCTTAAACCTTGCATTCAATCAATCATGGTCATTTGACGGCATCTAGGACGACCTATGATTACCAAATTTTAAGAGTCCTAACTACAATCATAAAGATGACATTCAAAAGAAAAGAATTAATGTATTGTAATAGTAAAGGAAAAAAATTTTCACACCGTGCCTGGGGCGTTTAAGCTAATATCACTTTATAACTTTCTCAAATTCATTTTACTTTATCCCTACAAAAATCATTTTACTTTATGATTTTGATAAGCAATTTTACAAGATAGCTTAGTTATTAAACAAGAATTAGATAGACCCATTAGGCACAATCCATTAGATAGGAAACCACTAAACCCACCGGGCCACCATGCTATTTTAATTACATCGTATTAGTATTACTATTATTATTAGTATTATTATTGAGATTATTATTATTAACTATTACGGGGGACGGGGCGGGGACGGTGCGGGGGGTGCATAACCCATCACCCGCCCCATATTTATGCGGGGAGAAAATATCTCCCCCACCCCACCACCCACCCCACCACCCACCCCAACTCCCCCCCACGGGGCGGTTCCCCACGGGCCCCCGCCCCCATTGCCATCCTTAGTAAAAACCCCTTCATTATTGATATTTAATTTTCTAATTTTAAAATCTTGTAGGATCACAGCTCACCACTCACAAGAACCAAGCCTAACAATTTGACATTTACCCTCCTCCAATAATTTGTTGCCATGTGGCCAATTTTCTTTTTATAAAATGTTATAACTTTTCCGATTTCGCTGCTACTTTTATAAAAATTATATCAAATTAAATAAATTTTTATGATCTTTCATATGACACCAATATCATATATGTAAAAAAACATTTGGTCAAGTCTGTTGAACGGCCGATTAATGTATATTTATTACATAGTAATTTTTAAATCTAGTCTACTTTGATCTGATCTAATTTGTTGAATTTATCTGGATCGAAATCAGTTCAATTAAAAGCATTCTACTCCGTAAGTATCATTCACGTCTTAAATCTAGTTTTTTTTATGAAAACGTCTTAAATCTAGTTATGTACTCCGTAACATATATGGTCGTAATTCAAAAAATTAATAATACTTATTTAAATTAAAAACTTTGGATAAATAAAAACATATTAAACTAACATTCTAAATTATATATAGGTGCCGTTAATTTATATAAATTAAAGACAATTGCAATTTGAAGTGTACTTATTAGTCTGACAGAAATTTATTTGTTGGGTGACATTAATTTATTGTTATGCCATCAATAATCTTATTGTCTAATCTGATATAATCTTATCTTATTTGTTTGATTTAAGTTTGGTCTAGTCTAATCAGAACTAGTCTGCCCTGTTAGATGTTTGTTTATGTGGGTGCGCGTGTTCTTTTGTATCTGTGTTATACAACTATCGAATTTTGATTTGGTCTGATGTGAGATCGAAAATATTTAAACTAAAAACATTCTAGACACTATCATATCATATTTAGATGATAATAGAATATAGACAATAGTATATTCAATATAAAGATGAATGAAAAAGTATATATGTGATCATCAAAATATTAACGAATATTGTTTACGACAAACTTAATGAAACTCTGTAAAAAAAACTTAATGAAACACATCAAAAGGAAGATCTGAGATACAGATATATAATGGGGCAGATGAATACCGCATAAGTCTAAATCAATAGTACTATTTTTTAGATATTTTTCAGATTTATTCTCCATTGTATAAGAAGATTGTAAAAATTTATAAAAACTATTAATAATGAGTTTCAAATATTTATTTAGTAGTTGTTTGATGATAGTTAAAAAATTTAATCTTATTTATATTAATTATATTAGGACCTTGAGTGTATTAGAAAGATAGTCACCTTGTGTTTTAGGGAACATTAGAACTTATTTTATTTTTAAAAACAATAAGACCCATTAAAATTAAAAATCAATTAATTTAGTATTATATTACTAGGGATGTCAAAAAAACCCGACCCGCAATGACCCGCCCTGGCCCGAAACATTTGGGGCGGGTCCGGCCCGCCCCGTCTTGCAAATGGGGCGGGTCCGCCCCGCCCCGCCCCGCCTATACAATGGGGCGGGTCCGGGTCTTAATATTGACCCGTGCTGCCCCGACCCGCCCTGACCCACCCCGCTCAATATATAAGTGTACATACTTTTTCTTAAATTATACTACAAATATACTTCAACATTCATATGTGTGTATACAATAAATATTAAATTTTTTGATCTTATAATATATTAATATATATATTAGAATGAGATGAACGACAAATTATCAATGTATGCATTATATATAGCATTTTAATACATATATTCAATTATTAATATAATTAAATAGATTAACTATTCAAGTCTGAGTAATTTTTCCTCAATTTTTGAAATTTTTAGCGTATCATGAATTTGATTTAATATATTAATTTTTAATTTTTATTCAGAGATAAACTTTATGTAGATTCAATTAGTAACAAATTCCCACAAATAAAAATACATATTAGTTAATTACGTTACGGCGGGGCGGGGCGGGTCGCATGGGGCGAGTCACGGGTCAACAAGTTTGGACCCGTGCAGGTCACGGGGCGGGGCGGACCCGCCCCGCCAAGTCACGGGACGGGTCCGGGTCTTGCAGTACCCGCCCCACCCCGACCCATTGCCATGCCTATATATTACCATCTTTGAATTGAATTAAGAATACGAACAATTGTTTATGCATTTCATTGATACTCCTCCGTGTACAATTATGCATATTTAATTGGTTTTTGTCGTTTTGAGGGGTGCGCTTAGCAAAATCATGGCACAAATTGGTAGAGGATCAATTACTATACCGAATGGGAAGGGTAAGATCGTCTAGCTAAAGGTGCGCGTAGCAATTCAAGGGGGTGCGCGTAGCATCACCCTTTTAAGAACCTAAACTTTGATAAGAGGTGAGATAATTTTATATAACTTTTTATATATAAGTTTTAGTCATAAATTTGTCTCTCACACACATATATATATATATATTCAAAATTTTATATAAAAAGTTACTTTTTGCATCACGATTGTATATTTAATAATACATCTGTCCCCTAAGTTTGGGACAAAGAGGTGTTGTGTGATTTTTTATAAAAAATAGAATTTTGTGGTTAGTATTGAATAGATGAAATGTGAATAAAGTATGAATTAATTGTAGTCACTCAAATATTACCAAATATTGTATGAGACAAACTTAATAAAACAAACGAAAAGGATAAAACGGGACAATGTTAGGGGGGGCGGAGGGAGTAACAAATATCATTTTTTTGGAATAATTGCACAATCTAAAGTACTCTAAGCTTTGTTACAATGTAGTTATCATTTTAAAGTTTCATTTTTGAAATAAATAAGATTTCATCTGGCACAATTTAACTTTAATTGCACTCTTATAAACATTTTGTGTAGTTTAAATTATGTACTTAGCATTATAGAGTTACATTTGTGAAAACATATATGATCATGACCCTAACATAATTTTTTATATAAAATTTGGAATTTATATATTGCATGTGCAAGTTTAGAGTGCTTATCTCATACCTATTCAAAATTTGGGACATTTAAATGTTTTTCCCCTTGAAAGTAAGTACTCATATTTATGAAAAAATTAATATAAATCAGAAAGGGAATAGTAAATAGTCATGCAGCACGGAGACTTGACTAGTGTACTGTATCAACGTTTTGAAAAAATATCATGTATCAGATACTCTATGATACATGACTACATGTACCATATTTACCTATGTCGAATCTGCAGTTTATTAAAATTTCCAACTTTTGTAATAGTTATTTTAAAATTTTTGATACACATAGTCTTACGGATACTATCTGCTTTTTTAAATATAAAACACCTAAAAATAAATAATAATAATGTCTTAAAATTATTTTTGAGAAATTTTAATTTTTATTAGAGTATTGTTTTCTATCCAAGAACTTTGATCGCTTTTGATTTCAAAATTGTGATTGTTTGACTTGTTTCTTATTTCAAATTAATTATTCACTTATTGTCTATATTTATATTTTGAGACGCGTGAGCATATATAAGATAATATGAATTATTGTCAACTATCATGATAATGTGAAATGTTTCAAAGCTATTGATGGCCAGGAGGGGACAATGATCATGTAAAGTAGATGATGGAGTATATGGCCCAGGAACCCCCGGCCCATAGACTCCTACTTCTCCTACACAAGTCCATTGAGCCCAGAGGACATCTCAGGCCCAAATACAACGGCCCAAGCTTCAAAGTAGCCCAGAATACACACTGGGGTGCCTTCGGCCTCCTTGGCCGAAAGCTCCAAAACTCACAGGATAGCCTTTTCTGGCATAAGAAGCTACTGGAAGAAAATGGGCAAAGACATGAGCCTTCGGCATTCTCATGCCCTCGGCGCCAGGGGAAGCCCTCGGCTACACAAGGAGCCCTCGGCTACACAAGAAGCCCTCGGCTACCCAAGGAGCCTTCGG